ATATATATATATATATATATATATATATATATATATATATATATATATATATATATATATATATATCTGTCCTGAGTTAAAAAAAACATACTCGCAAATTTTTCACTCAAACACACTAGCTACCACACAACTTCTTTGCACTAGTACTTTGCTGGGGCAAAATTAATAGCACCCCACCCCTCTAAGTTACCCCTCTTATTTTAACCAGTCATCGCTTCCGTTAGAACCGAAAAACTTGGCTACGTCAAAGCATCCCAATTCAGATTATTAGGGCAGGCCATAGTGTGAAAACAGGCTATTGCTGTTTCTGACTGCCTACACTTTACAGGTATGTTCTATCAAAATAAGACAGATATATATATATATACGGACAACGGACAACGGACAACTTCGAGCGAAAAAAATATATATATATACACTAAAAAATTCTAAAAAGATAAAAATATTTTATGAAAAGACGTTTCGGTCAGTGACCTTCATCAGTTGCAGTGCAAGTGAACAATAAATTACAATTTCCTTAAATAAGTTTACAGCATAAAAGATGACAAAACATTACAAAGATGATTACATAACAAGGCGTGATAACACATATTAGCAAAAAAATTGACAAGTGATGAACAATCGGTAATTACTACGCGTGAAACTATAACAATACGGTATAAACCTACGAGAAAAACAAAATGAAAGATAGAATAAACGAATACAAGCATACAGATGAAATGAAAATAAAGAAGAAAAGAAAAAGCTGTCGAGTCCACTGAAAGTGTCAAGGAACCAGCGTTAGAAATTAAAGTGCGAGAGTTATAACAAAATTCCCAATCAAAGCCCCTGAAACCATGCCGCGACAGGGCACAAAAGGCGCCCCGAACTGGGCCCTTAAACAACAACATTGTAATAAATTCCCAGATGGGAGCCCCCTAGATTACCTAGCGCTAACAAAGCTAACCGGATCCAAGACTGGGATCTTCGATAACCGCCCAATTTTACGAGTTGCCTCTACGTTAATTGTAGTTTATTCTTTTTTTCGAGTGAAATTCCTGACGTTTATTCAAGCCAAAAGTTGCTAAAGAGAACAACTGTGCACTCCAATAAGCCTCTTAAGTAATTAAAAGTTTTTCGATGTTACATGAATTATTCACAGTCGCCTGCACTTGATCAATACATTGGAATGAGAATGACGTGTCTTCCTTGTTTGTGTGAGTGTGTGCATTTGATCGTGAAAAAATGCTAAAGCTGTAGGATGGGGAAAAAAAGAAAAAAAGACACACGCTCAATCGCCAGGATTCGGACTCGCCCTTCTCCGCCAGCTGTTAGCTTCGCGTGCCGGAAACTTAACCAAGCAGCTAAAGAAACAAAATACATGTGCAAGACCCGTTCCATCTCTGAATATTATGTCACAATCACGTAACCCACCATTTGAAAAAGAAACACTTCTCACGCGGTTGCAAATACAAATATAGGCAAAAACAAACTGTAAAGTTAATTGTGCAAACATTTTTGCAGAAAAAATTAAAGTAGAAGGGAGCATGACCTTCCAAAACATCTTTTCTTCAATTATGGCCGACTTTCGTGCTGTAGTATCGGTGCTGCCACGCAGCCCGACTAATAAAGGCAAGAAGAATCTTTGTGCCTGTGCGGAAAAGGCTAATCGACAATGAGCCTTCGTGGCTTTTTGATTGTCATCGTATGTCAATATTAAAACAGCCGCTGCGTTTGCAGATTGATTGGCGCCAAAAAAGGGCGCACTTTTCGGTTTAATTTATTTCTTTGGGTCATTCTGCATATATTACATTCCACATAATTATGTCATTCCGCAAGCCATGCCACATGCCATTCCGCAAACTCATTCCGCCTTTTACCCTCACCGTACCAAGTAACAGAAAAGCAATTTAGCACTCAATTTTCGTGAAAAGACAAAGTAAATAAACATCTTCGAATAATACAATCATTTACATGTAAAAAAAAAAAAAAGCTAAATGACTGTTTCTTTCAAAGTCGCCAAACAGCCTTCTGAACTGAAGGTCCACACATGATCAGGCTTAAAGTGCTAGTGCTCTGGTTTTTTACCTTAATTGCAGCAATGTACCTTACAATTATGATGAATCGAAGCTCAAATAAACAAATCTACAGGCTGTATTTTAATTTTATATGTAAGTTCAACTTTCAAGTCATTATAACTGGAAACTATGCTTCTAACTTGTAGCAGACATTGCATGCATGCATATCGGAAACTTATGCTTTGTCTTCTCCTATTTTATTTAACATTGGTCTTGACAAGTCTGCCATAATCTGCAGCCCCAGAACATACAATTTTCAGAGTATTCCCTCGACGATTTGCAACAAACATTACAGTTATTTCTGCAGTAAACAAATTAAGAAATCAATCAATGGCATATTTGTGTATTAATATATATCAGTTTATCACTGAAGTTTAAGCTTAATTACGCATAGTTATTAGAAAACATACCTTTCTGCAATAATCCAGCTGAGTTAACTGACTTGGAAACATACTTTGTGTGAACACAAACTTCGCAATTGATCACTTTGTCTCGGCGTTTGGGTCGAA